ATATCGTACGATTTCTTTTCATTTTTATTCACAACACCCGAATCGGACGGTAGACTGTCGTATTCGAAACCGAACCGAAATGACTGTCACACCCGTACGATTCTTCGTACTTCTCGATCGGCAAAGGCTACAAACGTTATTCAGGACACAGTTATCGAAATAAAGTTAGCTATTGTTATTTTATGTTACTATTGTTTACAAAGTAACAATGTAATGTGGAAATCTCTTAATATTCTAAATAAAGTCTGGATTTTGTTAAATTTTATTAATTTATTTTAATGCAAGACAAATGCATTCCTATATTTTAGGCCTTTAAAGTGTTAAAAATGTATATAAAAGGGTTTTAATTTTTCTTATAATCTATCGATATACGATATCGTATCCGAAACCGCATCAAACGTTTAACTCGAACGTTCCGAATAGCTCGAAAAGCGCCTTTCGATTCGAGAACGATATCCAGTCGAACGATTCGGTTAAAATATCAAAGAGTTCTGAATCGGGGTCCAGGTTTTCTTCTTAACGTATAGATGGCATGCACTATGACGCTTGTCATCGTGGTGAAAGGATTATTGTTGGCCGGGTAGATCCGGACGTACAAGGAAGGAATGGAAATGGTGTGCGGGGAGGCTCTTTTCAAGCACCCATAGGGACAGGTAAAAGTAGGACACTATGGTCGGCGAAAAAAATATGCACGCTGATGTACTATAGTATTTTATGCAACCGTTGCAATATGAGGGTCTATTTTTGGCTCCAGAATACAAACTGTGAAGATGCTAAGTGAACATGCATTACAATTGAGGTAAATTTGTATTTCTATGACGGCCACGCACGGCATGTGCGAAATAAATAGAGTACTTACAAATTAACAGACCATTGAACATAATAAATAAACTTAAAAACAATAGCAAAAAAACATGTTACACACACTTACAAACAATGAGATTCTTAATCCAACGATTTTTGTTGTTGGTTCCACAACTTGATGCCGAACCATCAAATTGTGGAACCAACTCCCGGCGCATGTATTCCCTCCCCTCTATAACATCGGGTCCTTCAAACGTAGTGTGAAGAAGCATTTGGCCAGACCGGCAAAATGATAGTGACGGAGTGAAGATATTTGTGTTTTCCATCCGTTACTCTCATCTCTGGACTGTATTCGCACTTTCCATCAGGCGCGGTGAAGTCATTTTGCCGAGTCACAATAAAAATGAAAAAAAAAAAAAACATACTCAGCTTCTCCTTACAATTTTTTAAATAAGTATAGCGACTGGGAGAATACGTCCAAATCCTTAGAAAAGTTGTTATGAGCTCCAAACATGCTGAAAATAGGACCATTGTATGAGACATTGTTAATGGCGTTTATAAAACGTATGAACGTACGTTTATAAAATATATGAGTCTTGCTTCGTAAGTATCCAATTTCCTACGCATTTCAAACCTAGCGCTCAAGTTCCGAAGGAACCGTCTTTGGACAGTTTCGATTCTTTCAATATGACAATTATAAAAGGGTGACCATATAACTGAACAATACTCTAAATTGCTGCGGACCAACGAAGAAAACAGAATTATCATACTGTTTGGGTTTTGGAAAGGTTTTGTCACTCTTATCAATACGGTTCATATGAGTCGAGACAGGCTCGTGGCCTCAGTAATGGGTACGAGATTTTAAGAACTAATTATAGGTTGCATACAATACTTTTTCTACGCGTTAATAAAATAATGAAACTCAACCAATATTTAACGTATATCTTGTTAACAATCCATGATAAGAAACTCAAACGAAAATCAAATAAACGCTATAAAACAAAAACCAAAGAGATAGAATAAAAGTGGCCAGGTTATATTTAACCAATATTTTATTACAAAGTTTTATGGCCCAATTGCAAGTCCTTAGGCCAATTTAATTAATCAGAAGGCAGTCGAGCGTTTCAGCACCGTGAAGTTTGATATAATAATTAGCAAACGGACGTTCTTTTTGTGAAACTTAAATACTTCTGTGTACAGACCAAAAAGTTTCAGTTCAGTGGCGAGTACCATAGACAATACAATTTTGATTTGGAACTAAAACGAGTAGAAAAATATAGTTACAAAATTTTGAGGCGCCATCTTTTGGCACAGTATTGAACTATGTAGTTGAGATCTGCCATTGTAGTGTATTAGGTATATATCTATCTGCATCATATAAACAAATCGCTGATTTACCTGGATCTATCAGCCTACTCGTATATACGTTCCGATGCTGGACAAGTTTCCTTACGGGGTGTGACCCGCTGTAATCCACATTGAGGTTTCTTGTACGGAGCGTCACTGTGTTTGTAACCTTAACCTTTCTCGATTACAATAGATTTCACATATCTTTATAGTTTTCTTAGAGTGACTAAGAGCATGTTCACACGACGAGCGTTCAACAGGCGTTTCGTTAACACGCGCTTACAATTTACCTAATTCTAAACGTAAATCGCTGTAAGTGTTCACATGCGAGCGGCGAACGCGCATTCAACGCCGCGTTAACGCGGGGCACTTGTCAAGGTTATCGTTGAAGCGCGCTTTGAGATCATGGGTTTGCCGTGCTGCCGTTCACATGAGTTTTGAAATTGATTTTTTTTCTAGAAATGGGCTCAGAAGAATACGTATTTATTCAACGCCCAAAAAAACGCCCGCCATGTGATACACTGTTCAAACACTTTACGCTTGTCATGTGAACATACCCTGAAGCCAGATAGTACTTCAGCTGAAGTCCAATTCTGTACCGCATCCACTTTGTATAAAATATCAAATACTTTATCAAAGTAACTTGTTCTGTCAAAAGTACAATCACAAAAGCTATGTGAAACGAATAATTCCAGTTGCAACGCTATTTACTGCATACCGAAAACCTGGCAATGTCAACACTGTTCTACTTCACCAAAAAACTTGAGGAGAAAGTCGCGGAGTTGATGGGTTGTGACAAAAGGGCAACTGCATACGACATTGCTACGGATAGAACCTCAACGTGAGTACCATCAACACTATTAATTGCAGCGTTTCAAATGCACTCTAGGACCGTAATAAAAAGAATGTCTCACTCAGATTTTGTCATTCATCGAAAGACTGTTTTGCTAGAGCAAATACTTTAAGGTATTTACTATAAATAACGGTTTTATGAAAAATATACGATACACCAATTTGTCTAAATAATGTGCTAATGTGTTACACGACAGGATGTACTTTACTCGAACACATCGATACCTCCAATGAACACTACACCAATTTTATTTTTTGGTCATTTCTGTTATCCTTTTCTTCTTCGCTTTCGTATCACTCTTGACAGAGTGGTCGTGGACATCACGGAGTACGTTTGTTAACGGCTGATGTGGTATCTTTCTGTTAGTGGACTCATACATTCATGTTAAGGAGCGCCCACTGCAGATTTTATTTGATCGGTCCATCGAATGGGTGACCTTCCGCGCAGTCTAGTGCCCTCCACTCTGCCCTGCACAACAAGGCGCTCTGTGGAGTTGAAATTCCGTCTCGAGACGTGATCGAAGAATTTTAGTATGCGAGTTTGCACCACATTAGACAGACGCTGCTTGATGCCGAGTTCTTGGAGTATGGAGGCGTTTGAACGAAAGTCGAATTTTGTGAAAAAAATAAAGAAACAATAAACAAAATTTGAAAAAATGGCGAAAGCTGACCCAAAATGAACGTACTATCGTTCTTGGACTTTGCTAGTATAATTTTACGTATTTTTTTATATTTTTGTAGATTTTTAAAAGTCAGGAATAAAGAAATTGCAAAACAATGTATTTTAGAATAGATGCAAGAACACAACGCAATTGATTCACTTCGATCTACGTAGATTAGGTAACGTTCTTGCACATAAGTTTCATTTTAAACATGATTGAATGTTTATGTACCTAAAGTATTGGTTATTTTATAGTACACACATAAAACATTAAAGCTATAAAATACCTAATCAAATAATCAATTAAACAATAATGACATAAAGTGAAAAATAAAACACAATGTGACAAAAATGTTTGGCCAATAATCTAAATGAGAGATACAAAAGTTAGCAAAGGAACGTGTTGACAAGAGGCCTCTTGCCAATGTCACTTTGAGATTGAGAACAGTGTGACCATTTGTGGCAGATTTCTGCCATTCGGGCAGATTAAATTTTTATTCATTTTCATTGCGACAGAACGTGTAACGTTATATTAAATGTGGCAGAGTTTGACATATTTAGGAATATTTAGCAAGTTCTTTATTATTTTTAGGTACAAACTGAAAACTTCTTGTTTTCTCCTACAATGAACAAACATCTAAAGCTAAATACGGGGCTATGTAATAAACATAACCTGTATAAATTTTATAACCCCAGCGTCTACAGCCTGTACTCAAGTAGTTTTTTTGATGCTTTGATAATGAATCACAAGTATTGATAGGTCTCTTTAATGCACGTCTTCAAAAACACTGAGTCACACGGGATGTCGCCATCCTTCTTTTGATTTTCAACTGGAGCCCTGTAGGCCCTGTTGAAGCCTTGTTGAAAGTTGCCCAGGGGTTTAATGACGCGCTGCGCCACCCGCGTGTCCGTCAGTCGCCATCGGGCGCTTGTCAACATCGGATCTGTGTCGAACTTTCTCCGCTGGTAATTATTTTATTCTATATTAATTTTAAGCGCGCATATTGCGGGATGCCAGAGGCGGCTTCCCACGCCGCACCTTCTAAAATCTAGGCTCGCATTCATATTTGAATTCGTCGCCTTAAAATCTCTTGTATCAATAGATTACAATTATTGTCACCCTTATCATCATTCAGCCATACGACGCCCACTGCTGGGCATAGGCCTCCCCCAATGATCTCCACGACGATCGATCTTGCGCTGCCCGCATCCATCGGCTTCCCGCGACCTTTACCAGATCGTCGGTCCACCTGGTGGGTGTCTACCTCCTAAGCGTCATCCGGTACGCGGTCGCCATTGGAGAACCTTTCCGCCCCAACGGCCATCGGTTCTCCTAACTATGTGCCCCGCCCACTGTCACTTCAGCTGAGCAATTCTTCGAGCTATGTGGGTTACCTTAGTTTTCCTTCGGATTTCCTCATTTCTGATTCTATCACGTAGAGAAATACCGAGTCCCCGATGAGGGACCCTGAGCCTTCTTATGAGGCCCACATGAGTTTTTATTACATTGGAAATGTAATAGTTTTTTTGAATCTTTTTAAAAATTCATTATTACATTTTAAAAGCACTCAAATTACAAAAACATTTCTATATGTAGTGTGTGCGTTCGTACTGCTTCGTGTGGACATTGAGAGTCGTTAACAAATGTCAGCATTACTGCGTTCCGGTTTTGAAGGGTAAGGTGGCTGGTGAAATTACAGACTTGTCAACTTATGTCTCAGTTGGACGGGCACAGTGGCAGTGCCCCCCAGATCTTTGTGATTTAAAGCTTTGAGTGGAATTGCAACAAAATAATGGTCGTGTGTTTTTAAATTAAATTTAATTTTGGTTAAATACTGATTAAAGTTAGACATTAAAGTTAGGTACAATTATTTACATCACATTAGTGTTCAATTCCTTTTTTTTACATTTAAAATTTGCTACGTAGGTGTTATTGGCTGTACTATTTTAAGTTTTACTTTGTATATTTATGATATTGTAAACACTGTTCGTTTTCAGTAAAAATAAAAAATAAGAAAAAAATACAATATTAAGCGACATCTCTTGTTAAGCTCTGGTATCTGTAAAGGTACCTGGTTGAATGAAAAGAAACTTTCATAGATTTGTCACAGGTGGCGCTATGCAAAAAATCCGTTAAAACAAAAAGACTATAACAAACGCATAGAAAACTCTGAGTGGCAGGTGTGTCGTTTACGCGCATGACTTGTTTATCCGTTAGGTACTTGGTATCATAATTAAAAGTCCCTTTCCCGTCCCTTCCTAGAATGCCGTTTACGAATTCAGCAGCATTTATGAATCTTTTTACAGCAAGTATTTGGCAAGGCGCCTCGGCCCATTACGTCAAGACAACGAGGTACAAGACAACAAGCATGTCTCAAACGTGAACCAGGTTGAACTTCTGGACCGGTATAAGAAGCTGACAAGCAAGTTGACCGTACCGCAGAAGAATGCAATGAAGAATTTGGGGTTTATGTTTGCTGGGTAAGCTGGTTTTACAGCGTTAGTTGACTGTCGTGTCTCGTTTAGAGCTCTATGTAGAATATGGCTTCGATTCCCGGTAGATTCAATACTGGAAATGGAATGGAACTGCCTTAGGGCTCGATTACTATCAGAACCGCTGTCGCCAAAACTAACACATTCTTAATATGAAACACCACAAAAACTTGATATTGATTGGTCGTACTTTCAAATTTAAAAAGAATAACAAATTCTGGATTGTTAATATAATTTAAACTTTACCCACTCGCTATATAGTTAAAAGTTCAATACCATCAATACGTTTTGATATTATATTGAAATGTGCTGCCATCTAGTGGGTAATTGATGAACGACGACGATTTGGAGTTATCAATTTAGTTCTTCAAAAAAGAAACGACCATATTGCAGGGGTATAAGCTTTACTTTCGTATTTTGTAACAGACAACTGAACATTTATTAAAATAATACTTTCCGATGACATGAAATAACACCACGTGTAATATTTTTGATGCGGCTGTTATTTTAGTTCTCCAAAACAGGACATAAGGCATTTTTCTACGATTTTAGAGAATTTGCAAGAAACAATCAAATGACGCAGTCATACCATGCAAAGCGAAAATCGCGGACTGAGCTAACATAGGTCTTACAAGACATAGGTCTTCTAGTCGGCACGCGTCGGACACTATCTAACCACTTCTACTGTACTTATTGTTCTGTGGTAGACCCCCTGTTTTTATATGATTTTTTGCCAATTCATCAACTTCAAATGTGTTTGAAAGCTGACACAGTGCTATTTACTTTGATGAGGAACTTGCCAAAAAAGAAACATGTGCTAAGTTTTATGCAATTATCAAACCCGTCTTGTTTGTATTGAAATGTTTACTTATGAAGTAAAACATAAGGTGTTTCAATAAGAAATTATTATGATAGTACCTATGTGTACTATCAGTTTCTTTGAGGGTAATTCCGATAACCGCTCACGCGATACATGCGGCCGTAGACGCATACCACACTTAGAGGTGCCGGTGATGATTTTATACCGATTTATCGGACATCGAAGTTATAACAGGTAAAATAACTAATATTAATTGCTATTTCGGTAACTACTCTAGCAAACCATAAAGTTTTTAATGCCTGGGTCTGTCATTTAAAAAAAATAAACAACTTCAAAAATACGTCACGACAATCGTGTGTGGAATTGTTTGGGCTGGTGATTTCGGTGTTTATTTATTGAAAACATACCGTAAGTAGCGATTTTTAAGTTTACCCTGAATATAAATGTTTATTAACTATACTTTAAGGAGTAATTTTATGGTAAACGTTAGAACCACTCAAACGGAATATTATCATATTTATCCAAGTACACCAAAAATGTCATTAGTGCTTTTTAAGTGCAGGATTTGCGGTGTATTACTGCATTTTATTTGAGATGTTTTTGTTGGTAGTACGGAGGGTATTTATTTAGCAATACAGAATAATAATTTTTATTTATACAAACTTGTATTTAAACTGAATCCTTTTCTATTTTGCGAAACCAAATAGCCGCCATTTTGCGGTAGGAGGAACGCATCGCGTGAGCGGTTAATGGAAAGTCAAAATTTTGGTCACAACCGGCTTAAATTGATTCCACCATTGTGGAGCTTCTGTGGCATCTTATGCATCCACATTTTGTTTTTCAATGACATGATAGTTGAGTTGATCGTTTGAGGACCTCTGAACCTAACGGTTTGCACTGTGGGTGCGGGATTAGGAAAATTAACTTTTTTAAGTTGGTTGTGTCTGGTAATTTTGAGTTATGCCCTGGGATTCATGGTACTGGGAATTCCATAGTTTGATACCAGGACCCCGATTCAGAATCTTTTCGATATTTAACCGAATCGTTCTATTGTATATCGTTCTCGAATCGAAGGGCGCCTTCCGACCTATTCAGAACATTCGAGTTGAAAGTTCTATTCGGATTCGGATACGATATCGTTATCGAACAGCGTTTTCGCAGTTAGTCGGTGAAGTAGATTATAAGAAAAATGAAAATCTTTTATATACATTTTTAAGCCTTTAAAGGCCTAAAAAATACGATTGAATTAGCCTTGTATTAAAATAAATTTGTAAACAATATGACGTTCGGTAACTTATAACGGTGTTCTGAATAACGTTTGTGGCCTTTGCTGGTCGAGAAGCTCGAGTAATCGTACGGGTATGACGTCATTACGGTTCGGTTTCGAATACGACAGCTTGACGTTCGATTCGGGTGTTGTGAATCGGTCGACAACTGAGTTATCGTAAGGTCCTGAATCGACGCCCGGGTAGTTGACTGTCTCACATATTTGAATCCCATGACGCCATTATCCCTTTTTATCCATTGAAACTAAAACCCTGGCCCAAATTGATAATGTTTCTCATTCCTTTATTTCGTTTCTTATGGAAATAATTTCTTTGCCCTTCCTTACCTACAGGGACGTGATTCACAAAATCATCCAGAATCTGAGAGAGGCAGACGAGGATCAATTGGAATCTACAAAGGGCCCTTCGGATTATGGGTACACGGTACATGTACAGAGGCATGAGGTAAGGCGGCCATTCACGCAGTCTAATATTTATTACTTTTTATTTTGATTACCTGTATATTAATAAGGTAAGGTACAATAAAAGCTTAACTACTAGAAAGTAAAACTAGGATTTTAAAATCATATTAATAAAATTGAGTCCCCCCGTCTAGGTGCCCAAGATGTTGGCAGCGTTTTTCCTTTGTATGGCTATGCTAATGCGTTGGGCAAGGTAGCCGCCCTTGGGTTTCCCAGTTGTAAATAGGCATCGGAGCCGAGGGCTGCAAATAGGTAGTAGGAGCCGATTGATTATTTACGCTCTTTCCTCTCACAAAGGTACATTCGAAGCACTAAGGTACCTGCCCTTCTAACCGAGCTTTGGTTCTGCGAGTCTTTTCATGCATTGAACAGAAAAGTGAAAAGGAATTTCGGCTTTGTGGTTGTATTTATGTCTTCTTTTTAGCCGTTTTCTTTAATGCTGAAGGTCGTGACTCTGAAAGGTTTTCGAGACTTTATGACGATTTTCTTGCATCTAGTTTTGTCTTCATCTCTCAGGGCTGTTGTTATAGGGCGGCCGGCGAGGACGGTCACTTGGTCACTCCATCGGCTGCATGATCGACCGCGGAGTCCCTTTCCTCCACTATACTCACCACAACCAGTTTGTCAAGATTGTCTGGTTGTTGGCGAGCAACATGACCTAATTGATGAATGAATAATTCAGAATTCTGTTAGCATATCATGGAAAATCTATCTGCATTTACTTAATGTAATTATAGATCAAATTGGCTTAAAAAGTTTTCTAAAACGTTATTCATTAATGATGCAATATGGTTTACCGGGCACTTTTTTCCTAGTTCCTTACCTACCTAGGATGGTAGTAAATGAAACTAGGAGGATAAAATAAAATAATTATATTACAAAAGTTACTTTATACCAAACATTAAAACTTTGAATTGGAAGAAATTTGTTTTCAACAAATAAAATAAAAAACTAAACTAGGTCAGGGTACATAAATTTATCAGGTCGAAGATCATTTGTTTTCACTTTCGGAGTTCCGTACTCACCTATGACGGAAATCTTACCGTAGATGGAGGGTGGCATCAGGTTACGCAGCAGCAGGACTACGTAAACTGGCAGGCAGTGTGCTTCGGCACTAGATCGTGCAGTTTCACAAGCAGGAAACAACATAGGCGGGAAAATGACCAAGGTTTATCGTCTGCCCGACGTGTCAAAATGTGAAATGGTTCTGTACGTAGTTCTGTACTTAGCTAAGCTGCAGATAATTCCTTCAATTGATGAAATTAATATGCTAGAATGTGGTCATATTCTTTCCGTTCCGAGGGCCCACCGACAGCAACACGCAGAAATTAGGAAAGTATTTATTATATTAAGAACTACTACGAGTTCTTGCCGGGTGGGTCCATCAGAGACGGAGTTTACAATTACTAATTTGAAGCTGAAGGCCAAAACGGTTTTACAAAAGAAATACAAGCAAAAAAGTATAAATAAACAAAATCATAAAATATTGTCAAAATACAAGGATGTTAAAAATGAAATAAAAATAAATACGAGAATAAGCGGGAGGGGACGACCTTTTTGTTGTGATGCTAAAAAAGACGGGGTCACTACTCTCTAGACTGCGTTCTATCCGTAACAGTGTCCTGAAAATGTTTGGGGCTAAGCCCTATGCGCCGATGCTTGGTCATTTCGTCCGGGTTCTGGTGACGTGATGGGGTAATCGGTGGCGCCTCGAGCGAAATAATATGTGTTTTTTAGGTATGGGTAATATAGCTTTTTCTGCATATCGTATTGAAACTATATATCAATATTCGAAATCGGATTTCGAAACTATATATTATTATTGGATATAGTTTTACAAGAGCAATGCGGGTCAATGTTAGTGTACAGTTTCAAAGACGCACAAAAAATGGTTTCGCGTTGATATCCACTCAGTGAATATCTGACGCGAAGCAATATCGATGATTTCGTGTTGGTATCCACTCGGTAATCGCTCGGCTTGATTCGGCATCGCTATAAAACACGCGATGCGGAGCAATATCGATACAGTTTCTAAGCTACACGATATCGGATATTCGATATTACCACAATATATAGATTCAATAACTATACTTAGTCTGGCCATAAATACTGTTACACTTAAAAATAAAAAAATATTACATTTGAAATTCGAATTTGTCATTTTTATACGATTGTTCATTGTGTTTTCTCATTTTGGCGCCAATACATTGTACAATATTTTGCGATATTAAAATGGAGTGGGGTGATAAAGAGAACCGAATCGCTGCGATTGCATTACACAAAGTAGGTATGGAGCCAAATGCAATTTTTAAAACTCTCCATACACTTGGTATTAGTAAAATGTTTGTGTCCCAGGCTATTAATAGGTACAATGAGGCTTCCTCTGTTTGTGACAGAAAAAGATCTGGCCGTCCACGTAGTGTTCGTACGAAAAAGGTGGTCAAAGCAGTAAGGGAAAGAATTCGAAGAAATCCTGTCCGAAAGCAAAAGATTTTATCTCGGGAAATGAAGATAGCACCTAGAACCATGTCGCGTATTTTAAAAGATGACTTAGGACTTGCAGCCTATAAGAGACGCACTGGTCATTTCTTAACTGATAATTTAAAGAAGAATAGGGTGGTAAAATCGAAACAACTACTGAAGCGGTACGCTAAGGGAGCTCACAGAAAAATTTTGTTTACGGATGAGAAAATTTTTACAATTGAGCAACATTTTAACAAACAAAATGACCGTATTTATGCTCAAAGCTCTAAGGAAGCTTCCCAATTAGTCGACAGAGTGCAACGTGGACATTATCCGACTTCAGTGATGGTTTGGTTGGGTGTTAGCTATGAAGGAGTGACTGAGCCATATTTTTGTGAAAAAGGTATCAAAACATCGGCACAAGTGTATCAAGATACCATTCTTGAGAAGGTAGTTAAGCCCCTTAACATCACCATGTTCAATAACCAAGTATGGTCCTTCCAGCAAGACTCGGCGCTGGGTCATAAAGCTCGGCCCACGCAGTCTTGGTTGGAAGCGAACGTTTCGGACTTCATCAGAGCTGAAGACTGGCCGTCGTCTAGTCCCGATCTTAATCCGCTGGATTATGATTTATGGTCAGTTTTAGAGAGTACAGCTTGCTCTAAACGCCATGATAATTTGGAGTCCCTATTGATAACAATCTATTCTATTGATAACTGGCCTCAACGTTTAAAGGACCACTACACACGAGACCACTTCGAATAAGCTTTTTATATTTTTAATTGTTGTATATTTATGTATTTAACTGTATTAATGGCAAGACTAGGTATACGATTTGTAACGCCCATTTCTGGTGTTTTATGTTTTGTCTCTGTGTTTACTAACAATAGTCATAAGTTTAGAAATGTCTGTATTTACTAATAAGTAGGCCTTGGATGCCAAATAAATTATTTATTTATTATTATTATTAATAGCGACATCTCTGCCATGCCTGGTAGCTGTAAAGGTACCCAACTAGGCGATAAAATACTTCCTTATATTTCTCATGGCGCTACGGTTAAGAAGTCGTTGAAAATTAAATACAAAGATCCGACAACAAGAACGTGGAAATATTCGTAAGTTCCGCTAGTTGGCATCGCGTCTGACACGGTTTGCTAGGATACGTCAGTTCGAATCCGGCCGGAATGAAGGAAGTTTTATTAAGTATTCGATCTTTGTATTAATAATTAGAAAAATACAATTTCTTCGAAAGACATTCCTCAACACTGTATAATTGTGGGTAGGTGTTCATTGAATCTGGGACCTTACTCCGGGTTTCTCGTTTCTAGCTCGGTACGGTGAGTAACGGATTTTAGTTCTCTCGTGTTTCGCGCAACACTCGGCTTTCACTCATACAGGGTCAAGAGCACGTCAGGCTTCACATTTAAAACTTAAATCCAACTCTATGCCGCTTATGATAAGAACGTTCCAAAGCTTGACGTGCTCTTGATATATGATACATCACTCATAAGTGTAGTAAAGTAGCAAGCATCTAAAGTTGGGTAAATTTCTGAAAAAATCCTGAAAAACTCAGTCTGAGTTTGCTCGATTTGTATTTTCTCAAATTCATCGATTGGTAGTTTAGTTGTGTAAAGGATTATCCAACTCTGTCTCGAAAAAACAAAAGTGGTTGCCTAATAATTTGATGTATTGTCTCTCAAGCAGAGGAAGTGGGTTCGAAACCTCTGACTTTTTCGGAGTTTATGTGCGAATTTTAATTTGAAATTGACCATGAGCTTGTCGTGATGAAACCTGCACATCGAAGAAGGTTCACAAACCTCGGAAAACGTGTAAAGTCCCCAATCCGTACTGAGCCAGTGTGGCGGACTATGGCCTTTAGGCATCTGAGAGGAGACCCGTGTAAATGAAGTCGATGATAATGGACTCAGTGCCAGTTATTTCAGTCTTAGTTTCTCTGGTACTAAGGCGGTTCATTCGTTTTTTAAACACCAGTAGATTTTTCTTGAATTTTATGTATAGGTAACGTTGCTAGAAAGCGTTAGACGTCCATGATTATACATCTAGATATTTGGTTCTAGGTAACAGCGAACGAAGGGGAAAGTACTACGCCATATGGCGGGGATACCTACGCGCCTCCCGATCTGGCGAGAACCGGTAGCGACGGAACCATGGTAAGTAGGGCAGCCTCGGACAAACCGAAGAATCCTTATAATTTTAGGGCTAGTAATGGTAATGAAACTACTACAAAAAATATTTAATAAATTAATATATTCGCACAGTGTCTTTTTATTTTGAAAAGTTTCAAAGAACTATTGTAGTACACCTCAATATAAACAATTAGGGTTGTTCAAGTTTGAACATCATATACGTAATATGTCACATAACAATAAACCGCAAGATCGCGTAGACAGTTAAACTGTAACGGAAAATGGCTTCATCAACAGGTCATAATTATGCAACCAGAGATTTAACAAGTGCTTATTTAGTAGCCGTAAAGCTCCTTGTGAAAGAGTTCGTCTAGGGAGCTGCTGCCGCCGCGACATTCTAGGAGGTGACCGCACCTCGCGTCTCGCAACTCGCGCGTTGAAAATTAAAATGTATAAAATAAGTACAGGCGGAGAAAATTTGACACAAATCGGACGTCGACAAGCGCCAGATGGCGCCTGACGGGGCAACGCAACGCGTCGTTAAGCGGCTGGGCAATTTTCAACTTTTGGGATAAATGTCAATTTAGTAACTACAGGGTTTCAGTTAAAAAAAAAAATAAAACCAAGCAGGTTCTCTTGGATTTAATCTATAAAAATTGGAACCGGATTTATCCCCTAGTTTGTCACCCAGAGGTGGAATATTTTCTTCGAATTGGAATGAGACCTACATAAGGCACCCTCTTTCCAATAAAAAAAATAATCATCAAACTCGATGCACAGCTTAATTGCGTAACATATATCCAAAAAATACAGTTTTCAAGTCGGTCAAAAATCTGGATTCAATTTTAAAAATCAGATTTCAAAATGTAGAGGAAAACTCAGAAAATCCGGGTTTTTTGTATTAGTATGCACTCTCTAAGTACAAGGCTCGATATTGGATTTTTTTTATTTTAGCGATTTTAGCGCCATATTAAACTGTTTGGATATTCTACAAGGAAGGATTTTGAGTCTTTTTGAAAATGGGAAAGTGTTTGACAAGGGCCGATCTGGGTGCCATTTTAAATTCAGGTGGGTGTTCTACAAGCATCCGCTTTGGGTATTTTTATAATGGACTAGTGTTCTACAAGGGCCAATTTTGGTGCCATTTTAAATTGAAGTGGGTGTTCTACAAGGATCCAGATTTGGGTATTCTTTATAATGGACAGGTGTTCTAAAAGGGCCAGTTTTGGCGCCATTTTGAACTGGGCTGGGTGTTCTACAAGGATCCAAATTTAAGTATTTTTTATAATGAACAAGTGTCCTACAAGGGCCAATCTAAGCGCCATTTTAAACTCAGGTGGGTGTACTACAAGGATTGATTTTGAGTCATTTTAATTGGGTAAGTTGACCACAATTATTGAATTTTAAAATTAGGTGATTAGAAATGTGCTTAAAAGGGGGTAAGAATTTGTATTTAGAAAAAATCACTGAACGCTAACTATTACAAGTATAACAAATAAAACAATTTTTTTTTCGTATCCAAGTCGATGTACTTGTTTTTTTCAAACAAGCCACGTTTCGAATCCTTTAAGGTCCCATACTCACAGTTCCCTGAGGTGGTAAAGTCATGAATCAGTTATGTCTAATGTTAATGGAAACCACCCTATTTTTTCCATTATTATAACAAAAGTTATTAATTATATACCTGTAGTGAAGCGTAGAACGGGTGACAGAGGAAACCAAATTTTTGTAATATTCAAAGTCAAAGATTTATTCCATAGGTAAAATAAATTTACACTTGAAAGCGTCACATTTAAGCTACTGCTCGTTCACTGCGCTGACTTCCCCGAGATTAACGAGCAGAAACTCTAGGGTTTTGCTCTTTTAAAAAATTTTTAATGTTTTGGAATACATACAATTTTGAATCAAATTAGTGTGGATTCTGGAGCCGTATCCTCTTTCCATACATCTTTATCTAACACGTAGTCTTGAATTTTGTAATATGACTTTTCAATCAAAATATTTTTAATGTAGTTTTAAACTAAGGAAATGATAAACTTAATATATGCTCCGGAACCTTATTGTAAAAACGTATACAGTTCTCCATAAAAGAGTCGTTTAACTTGGTTAAACGAAATCGTGGTACCATGAGTTTGGACTTAGCTCTAAGGTTAATAATATGGATATCTTCCTTCTTATTGAATTTATGTATATTTTTACGGGCATATAAAATATTTGAGTAAATGCACTGTGATGCCACAGTCATGATACCAGTCTCCTTAAACTTTTCTCTGAGAGATACCCGAGAGCCTAGACGGTACACAGAACGAATCGCTCGTTTTTGCAATACAAATATGGTTTGAATATCTGCCGTTTTACCCCACATGAGAATAAATAAATAGTATAAGTTTTTTGCTTGATACAGTAGGTGCCACAGGGATACAATACAATAGTATAACCGTTCAGTAGGAAACTACTCCCCCTGGCTACACGACACGTCACGGAAGTCCCATACGCCGTTCCAAATAGGAAGCGATTTTGGGTGCAACCGCGTACTATACCCTTAACTAGCGATAGATACTAGCTATGAACGATCTAAATCAGCGCTGTTCCCAATAAGAAAGCAGTACTACATACGCTACAAGGAAGGTGGCAGGGTCCTCCCATTATGTTCGAATTAGACGTATGTCGATCGTGATCCATCGAATCAAAATGTTTCGAACAGCACCTGTGACTCGATAACCCGAGTTTCAAGCTACTAAATAACCAGATCATTTTAGACTTTAATGGCTCATGCGCGCAATATTCCACTTTATTATATTATATTCAACATTTCACGTAACACTCAGTCTAGAACTGGCAATATTATTGTTATGTCGCTCACTATCACGTGAAGTGAAGTGAACTTCGTTTGGGTCGAACATTTGTTTGATAGAGCATTTGTTTGATAGAATAAAATTCGATCGAACCAAACAGTCAAGCAATCGATCAACTAGTCAACTGGTTAATGGTTAACGGATAATAACGGACGGTTTTCGTAAAAGCGTAAAAAAAATACGTCAAAACGACAAATAAACGGCATCAGCTTCCACATGTAAAATACCTAGTTGTTAAATTATTTTAGTTATTATAATTGTAGCTGCATGATCAATAACGTGGGGTGCACTATAAGTTACCGAAACGAATAAGAAAAAAATACTATAAATGGTCAGAAGTGAATTTATTGTTTCTCAAAATAATCTTCGTTAGCGTTAATGCACTTTTTCATACCAATGAATCAATTTTGAAAACATTTGTGCCACTCCTCCGTGACAATCTCTGAAACATATTTTTCATACTCTTCGACAGCCTCTTTAGGTGATGAAAATCGTTGACCGCGTAACTGGTTCTTAATTTATGGAAATAAATAAAAGTCACAAGGTCAACGTTGTTCACCTTTAAAAAGTCTGTCTGGCCGTGTGAGAACTGACATTATCGTGGTGCAAGATGATACGGAGTTTATGGTTATTTTTACGGAGTTTGCCAATAATTTCCGGCAAACAAATGGTCGTGTACCAATCACTATTCATGGTAAAACGATTCTCCTAAGCAACAGTAGCCACGTGTCCAGTTTTATTAAAAAAAGAAACAATCATCCGCTTAGAGGCACTTTGCACGCGCGCCACTTTGGTTGATTTCGGCTCATCTCGAGAGACCCTTACGCTCCATTGCTGCTTTGTTTTGGGCTTGTAATTATAAATCCATGTTTCGTCACCCGTTACTATGCCCAACACCAAATTTGACGCCCCTTCGTTGAATCTGGTAAGCATGGCATTACACCAAGTGCCGTGATCCGTTTTTTGAGCCTCAGTCAAATTGTGTGGGATCCACCGAGAGCACAGCTTTTTCACACCCAAATGTTTGTGTAGTATTGATTCTATTTGACTCATGCCTATGCCTAAACACGCGCGAATCTCATGGTATGTCACATGTCTGTCTGTTTTGATCGTACAGCGAATAGCATCGATGTTTTTGTTGTTCATAGCAGTGGACGGGCGACCATGACGAAATTCGTCACTGAGATTCACACGACCGCGTTTTAGCCAGCTATAAATAGTGGTCTTGCATGGTGCTTCATCGCCAAAAGTAGTCTGAAGTCGAGCGAAGTTCCGCTGAGCTGTTAAATTACACTTAAAGTCGTAGAAAATCATACCACGAACATTTTCACGAGTTCAATCCATGGTGATATAGACAACCAATTTCTAAAATATCGCCACAATGTAAAAACAAGTGACAGTTAGATGAAAGAAACTGTATTCTACCGCCTAAGAGTTCCATTTTCGAATGTTGTAATTACTTTTTAAATATTGTTTATGTAAGTGGCCAGTTCCGGAAACTTATAGTGCGCCCTATGTATACATCCGCAGCGCTCGTTGGGCTGACAAACACTAAGGCGATTAATACACTGCACCGCGTCCCGCGACGGTGCGCGAGACGCGGAATCATGCGCGCGGTGGCACAGGCGGTTTAATCTCGTCGCGATCACCACTTTGGAGGCATTTTAGTTGTTGAAGTAGTAAAACTCGAGTCAGGGTCAGGTATCATATTGTTCATTGTAAAATCCTTACAGAAGTACATTTCTTAATCTCTAAGATAGTAACTTGTTATTTAAGTTATGCCGGGTGTAACGCGGAGACACGATGCAACTGCTGCAGTGGCGCGTAAATAGGAAGCGCGAGCGAAAATTCTGTGTGTGTGATGTGTGTTGAAGATGCAGCTACATAATTATGCCTCAGACATCATTCTTAGTAGTAATTTTGTTATTTTAAATTGTTTTAAGAGCACTCTGCATACATTTTTAATAATACTATAATTTTATTCTTATTTTAATTAGATTTTGTTGTTTTAATGTTTTTGTATTATTTTTAAATTACGGATTATTTGTTAGTCCTATTGCGTTTTGTTAAATAGGCATAGCCATCTACCTTAACTCAGGCTCCAGCTGAAAATCGTCTGAGCTGATTTTCAGGCTGGGCAGAGGCTCAGCCAGCATTAAGCTGAGCTGGCTGGCCTTTTCGGCTACTGTTGTATATTTTGTATTTTATTTTTTATTTTTTATTTAATTTAGGTTCTTTGTACATTTTATTTGTAATAGCCGAATGATTTCTTTCTTTCTTATTTCTTTCTTTAATAAGGCCACATCTCCAAATGACACCTTTTTAGGAGAAAAGTTTAAAGATTCTAACGATATGAACGAAATTAGTGGATGAAATAGATATATCACCCTGAAAATACATGTATGTGACTTGTTTAAATTTTATAATACAAAAATTATTCGATCTCTAAACTGCCCACCATTATTCTTTTATTTTTACTTCCTAATCTTTAGTAGTAGATGGCAATTCAATACCTTGCCTAGTTTTTTAAATTCAAAAATACAAATATATTTTTTCTAAGCAATCCTGTGTTGGTTCTATGTTTTCTTTCTACAAATAACCCAGTTTACAATAAATAGTATAGAATAGCTTACAATTTTATATTTTTTTAAATTACGTTCGTCAATATGCCGTCCGCTGCTGAGCACGGGGCAGGCGAAATGATTACTGCGCGTGAGTCTCCAATTAAAAGGAGCTTTTACATTAGTACTTAACGACGTTCCGGTTTAATCGTATCCGTTAAGTTAATTTAACTGATTAACTGAACCATTGTTTACGATGTGTTAATCGGCCCTGATTGATCGTAAACTTGCACTGGTGAGTAGAGAATTGTTATACAGAACCACCATTTTATTCGTGCTACGGTCAAATGGCAGTGACTCTAATGGAATTATGTCGAAGTAGAGCTCCATGTGAAAGAATTTGTCCAAGGAAGTACTGCCACCTTACCTATTTCTGCAGTCAAGCAGTAATGTCAGCATTACTGTGTTCCGGTTTGGAATAGTAAGGGTGTTGGTGACATTACGAGCACATGGTACTTGTCAACTTACGTGTCAGGCTGACGGGCGCAGCGGCAGCGCCCCTCAGATCTTTGGAATTTAAAGCTCTGAGTGGCATTGTAATTGTCATGGACAGGCGTGTAACGTACCATCAGGCGCGCGACTTGTTCGTCCCGTCACTTGATGTTATAAAAAGAAAAGGCCAACACACACACGAACATACCACACACACGCACACATGCGCGCGCACGCACGCACACACACACACACACACACACACACACACACACACACACACACACAC